GGAAATGTGGGTTATTTTTCAGCACATGAAACATTAACCCACGATTCTAAAATGTGTGTTATTTTGGTGTCAAATAACCCACAAAATAACCCATTTAATCATAACCCATGAATCTGCTGAGCCTATTTTCAAACATAAAAAACAGTACTTCCTCCGTCCAGAAATGATTGTCCCCTAACAGACTTGCTACTGGAATAAGCTCAATACTTGGGCGTTTCAATTCCTTCTTTTTGCACTTAACAGATCTATAATAAAAGTATACAGTCATGAATATTTAACATAGTAAAAGTGTCTGACGTATTTACAATAGTACAATAGTTGTTTAAAGGGACCCAATTTTAGCATATGATTTTCATTCTACTGGTTGAAAGGGTTCCACCGGTCATTTAGAGACCAGACTTGGAGCAATAGTAAGCTAGTCTTGTGTATTCTATCAAGCAATAATAAGTGTTGGTCACAGGAACATTCTTATGCAGTCTTAGCCGGTCACTATAGGAAGCAAAAAACGGCTCTGGGCGCATGCAGTTTTCGTCATTTTTTTTCCTGTGCTGGAGAGAGCGCTGAGAGGGAAAAAATTGAGAAGAAATTGTGCATCGCGCTCAGTACAAATATGTCACCCGTGTTATTTTCACGCGATAATTTTCACTCTTGATTTCATCACACCTCCTGATTCACTCTTCAATCATTGTTTCTTTCCGCTTTCTTTCCTTTCGACTGACTCAGACGGGCTTCTTTGCTCTTCGCACCTCAAGTGACTGAGTGGTCACCTCACACCCACTAGCCGGCGCCTCCCGCCTCCGTTCCTTCCACTAAGAGGGGATCCATCGACTCGCTTCCTCACGTCTCCGTTGCTTCCACTCCATTGAGCCAACGCGTCTCCGATGCTTCCACTAAGAGGGGATCCATCGACTCGCCGGCGCCTCCCGCCTCCGTTCCTTCCACTAAGAGGGGGGAGAAACCGACTTGCGTCTCCGTTACTTCCACGGCTCGCGCCGATTCAACAATCAACCAACGGTCGTCGTGTTGCTCGTCTCTTTGTGCTGCCTTGATTTGCCGCTGCTTGTTTTAACTCACTTTTCCCCCTCTTGGTCCTTTCTAAAGCAAATAAAGAAACAGCAACAAGATGGTTGATACTGGAGGAGCAAGCGATATGGCAAGCGATACTGGAGGAGCAAGCGATACGGTGAGCAATACGGCAAGCAATATGGCAAGCAATACGGCAAGCGGAAGCCATGATACGGGAAGCGATACTGCAAGTGGAAGCGATACTGCAAGTGATAGCGATACGAGCCCACGAAAGCTCAGGCTTTTAACGGACAACGAAAGAAATGCAGTTCYCCAGTTCCTCCTACAAAATCTGAGGAGTAGCAGTGAAGGCAAGCTTCTCAGGAGGGGAGCTGTTAAGGATGCTGCACTACAGTTCAACATGTCAACCAAAACCATCTCAAGGGTCTGGAAACGGTACAAGGAAACTTATGCTGCTGGGAATGTCTCCAGTAGAAGACACTTGAGCGGTCGCAAGCCAACGCCCCTATCAGATCTGGATGCACTTCGCACTGTTGCGCACAAAGACTGAGGTGATCTACGCACTCTAGCGTCTGCAACTGGGATTCCTAAGTCAACTTTACATGTCCTTGTGAGACGTGGGAATATTAAAAAGCACARCGGAAGCACAAAGCCCTTGCTGACACCTGCAAATAAACTTAAGAGAGTTCAATGGATCATGAAACACATTGATCAGAACGGTAAGTTTGACAACTGGTTCAAGTGGATACACATCGATGAGAAATGGTTTTATCTAAAGCGGACAAAGCAGACGACTTATCTGCTACCAGGCGAAGCTGAGCCCAAGTCAACATCAAAGTTGAAGAACCATATGACGAAGGTGATGTTTTTGTGTGCAACAGCCTGTCCACGTTGGGATACGAACAACCGTGTTTGGTTCGATGGTAAGATTGGTATTTGTCCCTTTGTCGTAAAAGAACCAGCCAAAAGATTGTCTGTGAATTGCCCCAAAGGAACCTTGGTTACCAAGCCACAGAACGTTAATGCAGAGGTGTACAATTGGATGTTGCTTGAGAAGGTACTGCCTGCGATCTACGAGAAGTTGCCGAGGGGATCTGCTACTCCGGAGATTTTCATTCAGGAGGATAATGCCAAGCCTCATAAGGCTACTATCAGGGANTACCGGTAGTAATCAAGATAATGAAGCTGCACTTTGTAATCTGTTGAACAAATGGATGTGGAGTTCATTGTTGAAGCACTGAATAGATAGCTATTGAAGTAAATTTAACCACGAAGAAGGAAGATCATAGTAGTAGTAGTAGTAGTACTAGTACTAGTAGTGGTAGTAGTACCTAGTATTGCATTTTGCCTTTAACAAGAACACATCAAAACCTAAAACATCATCATCATAAGAATGCAAAGAAGAGAAAGTTATTAGTACTAGTTGTACTAGCTAGTACTGCAGTAGTACTACCTCCGTTTGCACCTAGATAATGGTGGTACAGTTTGCCCTAGTACTTCATTTTTTCCATAATAATGGTACAGTACTATTTACTTGTTCTTACTAAGTGTACAAGAACAGCATGTAGAATCAGTACTGTAGATAAAAATGAGCATGCACGTGAATAAAAATTAYTTTTGGACATGAAATTAAACAGTCTATCAACACAGGAAACAATTTAATGACAATGGTACTAGTACTACTACTACTACTGCAGTGCACCTCTTTTGAAGAACAAGAATGAGGACCAATGCAAGAAAGTTCTCCATAGTACTGAAGAGAATTAGTACAGCCTCAAAAGTGTGTCACTCTTGGCTATCATGTGCAAGTAGCAGTCTAGGTGTAGCAGCAGTGTATCAAAATAACCTGTACTAGAATCCACCTGACAGTAGTTTCATATTCTTGATAAGAAAAAATATGCTTTTTCAAAGACTTATTCCATCATTGTTCTTGGTGGTACGACGACATTGTAAGTCACAACACATTCAAAAAGTATTAAACAAGATCAACATAATAAAAAAGAAGCAGTCAAATCACCCAAATATTGAGCTTAATCCAACCCGAGAGGTGCAAACTGTACCATTATTGAGGTAGTACTAATAGTTCTATTTGCAGTAGAAAGTACTAGTAGTATTCCTGGAAGAGGAAAAGGAACATAAAATGGGGGGGTTATGTTCTCAGGGCCCTCCAGAACCCACACACATGAATCCCCCCTTTGAAATCCAACATTCAGGGACACRATTTTGTGGGTTATTCCTCTTGTTTCAATGAAATAACCCACACTTTGGAAATGTGGGTTATTTTTCAGCACATGAAACATTAACCCACGATTCTAAAATGTGTGTTATTTTGGTGTCAAATAACCCACAAAATAACCCATTAATCATAACCCATGAATCTGCTGAGCCTATTTTCAAACATAAAAAACAGTATTAATTAACATTAATGGTGACTCAAATACTTAACATCCTCGGTTMTCTGCACCCCAAATGACTGTAAATTTGTAGGTTGTTCCATCAGTTCCTTTGAGACGTGTAGCAGTCGTGCACGGTGTTTTTGCTTACACGTGTTTGGGGAATTGGTCAAAAAAATTCTTCGTCGCCAACACCTATCACGAGGAATGAATGAGCACGAGTAGTAGATTATAGATTAGATAAGGAACGCCGAATCAACCCATGCGGTCGATGAAAGTGAATCTCAATCGTGTGATTCATCGATGATGCAGTTACAAATGGGCACGAGAATGATRCGCAATCCGATTGCTATTGTTGCGTCCTGCATTGTGATCCTTGCGATTGCCGAAGCCTGGAGTGCTATTCCGAACCAACGAGCTTTGAACTCGTTCTCGGGGAAACATGCCAGTAGYACTCAATACAACAACATCGATGAAGATGKTTGCGTTGAACCTCAGAAGGATAATCTGTCGAGACGTCGATTTTTTCAAAAAGGAATGGTAGCCACGACTTTTTTTASCGTAACGGACCCGGGATTTGCTAGAGCAGCAATTGCCCAGACAGAACAACAAACAGAGGAAAAASAAGGCCTGATGACGGCTTCGGCGGTTGCAGATTTGCTCCGCCCRGTTCCAACTTTTACCATTGTCGACGAAAAAGGAATACCTTTCACGGTAGTAGGTGAGGATGCAAAAGTCACCGGATATTTTTTCACTACTTACAAAGAGGCTCAACGTATCTTGGAACTGGCGAAAAGCAGTGCCGACCGGGCGATTGCGAAGGCAAAGGYAGATAAAACGGATGAAGATATCGGAACAAATCCGTGGAAGCGTGCTAGAATCTCGACCGTCCCGCTGGATTACGCAGTTACCGTTGTTACCAAATCGATGCGAATGTCTGGCAARGGTGTTTATTTCAAAATGGCACCCGCTGATGACGACATTGAAGATGCTTTGACCGTGACCGGAGATGATGACTTGGCCGAGGGCAAAGTRCCTCTTTTTTACTACGAGGATTTCAAAGTGGCAGATGGCGAAGGGAAAGAGAAGACGCCCTTATATTTTCGAAAGGACGAGCTCGAAAAGGAATGGCGTCGATTGAATCCTGGAAAGGAGGCTCCCAAGATCAATGTGACAGAACTTCTATCGCTTATAGCAGAGTTACTTCGACCTGGTGGGAGCGACGAAGAATTGAAGAATCTCGCATTCGTGTTGCCAAAAGAGAGCGAATCGAAACGAAAAGAATGTCTGAAGAAAGGTGGAAAGGAGCCTGCATTTGTTGTAGGGAAACGAATTATCGTGCTATAGATGAAAATGATCTAGATAGGTCCATTTTCCGTAGGAAGAAATAATAGTACGCGCACTCTAGGTGTATGCAAATACTTTCGGTCACCTAACGAACAMTACTTTTGCGGTAGACACAATTGTTTTTGTATGCATCTAGCATGATTCATTCGAATTGAATTCTAYWATCACGTTCTCTGGGGCCTGCACCAGCTCAATGAGRACTCCATTCCCGGATATTGGAGCTGTTTCGATACCCTTAGGATGAATAAATACCACATTGTGTCCAGCAGCTCCCTTTCGAATGCCTCCGGGAGTGAACCTGACACCCTGTTCTTCCATCCATTCTACGGCTTCTTCCAGACGATCGACCCAGAGCCCTATGTGGTTCAATGGCGGAGCATGAACCTTCGGGGTTTTCTTGTCATCGATCGGGGTCATCAAATCGATCTCGACTTCGTGGGGTCCGATTCCGAGTTTGAGGATGTCCTCTTCGACGTTTTCGGATTCGATGCGTTTGGTAGCATGGGGTTCCAGGCCGAAAATACTTTTCCATAACAAATCCAGAGGTTCCCTTGTTCTGCATCCAATCGCCACTTGCTGGACTCCCAAAATTCGGAACGGTCTACATATGTCGGCTTTCGTTCGTTTTGGCCCGGTTTTTGCAAAACCGAACGAGTTCGCGGGCGGCCTGGATGCTACGCATCTGGTTGACGACAAATAGATTTTACGCGAAAATGGACGTCCAAATACTCYAAACATGAAAGTGTGTGCGCTTTAWATGGGTAATTCGATCGTTGGTAGGATGTTCCAAGTTGTATCACTCGTATATCTGCCTCTTTCTGTTGCCAGACGAATCTTTGTGGAATGCAGATCTCTGGAAATGTTTTCGATTCAAAAATGGTTCGTGCCGGAACTGGGTTCGTGTCAGTTTGACCTTCTTTCGGGAGAAATTGAATGCGAAGAATCCATCACTTAGTTCTGTACCGTACTGTACGTACCGGTACAGTCCTACTACTGTAGTACAGTATCTTAAATTGTAAGGCATCATTCCTTATTGCGGTGTACAAACAATTAAGTTGGAAAATATCCCTTGAAGGAGAAGTCTGTTTTTGCTTAGAGGCAATTTCAGCCAAATGAAAGGGTTGAAAGAAAGGTCTGTTATTACTATTACAAGTACCACCACCAGCAACAGCATTTCTACTAGTAGTAGTACAACAAGCAACAAGAACTTCTTGATTATTTTTCTTGCTACCACCATATACTAGTACTAATACTGGTTTCTTTTATCATACTACAAGCGACCCCTCCTTGTTAGATAGAACTTGGCAAATTGCTTGGTATTGACACTACTACTACTAGGTACCATGCTTTTTGCCCCTTGGGTCATTCTTCTTGCCGTGTGCTGCATCCCAGCCTGTCCACTGCTGGTAGAGCCCATTGTAGCAACTGCTTCCAGAAGCGGTCTTGCTTGGACCGAYCGTCAATGCTCAAGTGTTCGATCACTATTCAAAAAGATCGGCAACTAGTAGCTCCACCCCCCAACGGTATGATTGGACCGCCTTTCCCATGCAATCGCAATCGAGGACTCTCTAAGTACATGGAAAGTCGATGTTGATGCATTCGAGTTTGAAACCGGAGTCTTCGTGCCGTTGTCGTTTCTTGCCCACCAAGCAATCGGAAAGGAAGAACAGAGGGACTAAAGTTGCCACATACAAATGGAGGCTAGAGGCGTTCTCTTGGTTGAAAACTCTATGCATATGRACGCATGGCACTACACTATAAAATAAAACCAAAACGAAGGCCTGCCAGTGGTGTCCTCCGCTCGCTTTGTTGTGGAAGTCTTTTTCCGCGATTCACACTATGGGTATCTAATCCAGAACCCTCGCCGAACTTTGCATCGCGCTCTCGTCACTGATTATACTACTTTTATATTATTATTCATACGGCAATTCTAAACCACCTCGTGAGGAGGAATCGCGATTCTTCGGTTTCTTCTCCTCCGTGCGTTGGCTGTCTTTCCAGAGGTTCCGGCACTACTTGTGCCGTTTTCTCGCCCCAAAATCGGTCAGCTTCTTTTTCGAAACCACGCCCACCCGATCGTTGATCCCCTCCTTGGTGGCGAAAATACTCCCCGTTGAAACGTGCCCCTTTTTCTGGAAGGACTGCCAGGACTTTTGCCGGTTGTTCGACTCGATTTCTTTCTTCTGCAGCCTCCACTTGTTCTTGAGGGACTTGGCGGCCCGTCGCTTCTTGTTGCGCTCGGCCTCCGTGTCGGTGTCGTTCGGCACCAGGTGGTCCGGCAGAACAAAGTCCCGGACCTTTTTGGGTTTCTTGCTGCCGCTCTTCTTGGCCTTGTGGGGCCGTTCCTTCCCGGCGGCGCTCGCCGGCTCGGCCGCGGCGGCGACGGTTGGGGCCGCCTCCCCGGCGGCGGAGGCTGTCGAAGGGCCCGGTGCGGGAGGGGGCGGCGGCGGGAGCGGTGGGGGGGGGAGGGGAAGCTCCGGGTCCGGGGGGGCACCGCCGCCGGCCCCGGTTGATCCGGCCCGGGACAGCTCCAGGAGCTCCTCCAGGTCCCGCTTGAGGGCCAGGAGGGACTCGTCCCCCGGGGAGGCCTCCAGCAGCTCGACGATCCCGGCCAGCTGGGATTCGTACTCGGCGATTTGTTCGGCGGTGGTGGGTTCTGCCTCGGCCATTTCTTGCGGGGGATCGGGCGAACGGGAGGGTCTCTGTTCTCTCCTGTCTTCTGTTCTCTTCTCTTTCGTTCCGTGATGTTCTTGTTGCAGCGGATGGGTTTGTGTTGTGTTGTGTTGGCTCTGCTATGCGTTGTGTTGTGTTGTGTTGGCTCTGTGTGACAGTCTCGTCTCGTCTTGTCCTGTAGTGCCGTCCGAATTTGATGCCAGCAGCGTGTTCGATTGTTTCTCGTCTCGAAAGAAATGTACGAAAAGGAACTCTTTCAGTACCATTCAGTTCTTACGGATTCATTCAGTTCTTACGGATTACGGATTCAAGGTTCAAGTACAGACAGCCCAATGCCCAACGAGTAGTAGTCATCTATTGGTACGAGTACTGCCCGTACGGAAGTACGGGTACTGTACAGTACGTATTTCCCTCAAAGTCTAAGGTGAATGATCCACCATGCTGTAAATAAGAATGATACCTTTCACGCATATGTACGTACTCCCTACCGTACACCGTACGCAAGTTGGTACGATTGGTACGATCTTGATTCTCATCCGCGTCCCAGTGCGTATGCAGTTGTCCCGTTGCAAACTTCTCCTCTCACTCAGTTTCCCCTTCCTTTCCGCCGGTGAAAAAGATCTTGCAACGCGGCGCCAGGGATTGTTCTTCACTTTCCGAGGGCTTGCCCCAAACAACACCAATCTATCCGCTATCGAATACGAATACGAATACGAATACGAATACGAATACGAATACGAATACGAATACGTACGAAGCACTGCATCTGCTTCGAATCCACTACCTCCTGCAAACGGACCGATCGATTTCGCATCCCACTAAAGACACGGCACGAAGCGCGGCATCGCATCGCACAAGCACCCCATACACGTACAACACACAACACACAACAAACGACACACGACACACGACACGCATGGCAGGACCGGCGAAACCCCGAGACCCCCGGCCGCCGCTGTGGAAGGTGTGGTTCGTGGCCGCGCGGCCCCACACGCTGACCGCCAGCCTGGCGCCCAACATTGTCGCCTACCACTCCGGGATCGGCCTGCTGGGCATCGGCAGCAACGCAAACGAAAACGCAAACGCAAACGATCTCTCGGGCTGGAGGTCCCTGGTGGCGAGGTGGACCCTCTTTTGCGTCCTGATGCAGCTCGGGACGAACCTCCACAACGACTACGCCGACTTTGTCAAGGGCGCCGACAACGACAAGCGGGTGGGCCAGGCCCGGGCCACCCAAAAGGGGTGGCTGACGCCCTTCCAGACGGCTGCGGCCTCGGGCGGGACCCTCCTCTCGGGCCTSCTGGTGGGGGCGGGCCTGGTTGGCGGCCTCGAACCCACGAGCCCCCTTGGGGAGAAGGCCTTTGCTTGGTTCGTGGTGGTCTCGAGCGTCTTCAACGCCTTTGCCTACACGGGCGGGCCCTGGCCGCTGGGCTGCCTCGGGCTCCCGAACTTTTCGCTGGGCTACTCGGGCCTCGGGGACCTCTTTGTCTTTTTGTACTTTGGYCTGGTGGCGACCCTCTTTCCGGCCTGGCTGCAAATGGCGACCGGAACCGGAACSGCTCKKGGCTCTGGCCTCTGGGCTTCCTGGCCCCCCGCCCTGCAGGTGGCGGTCCTGGCGACGAACATCATCGTCGTCAACAACCTCCGGGACCGGCACACGGACGTSYTGGCCGGAAAGAAGACCCTKGCGGTCCGCTTCGGCGCCCGGTTCTGYTTGGTGGAGTACGGGGCCAACCTGGCGGTGGCCTACGGGCTGGCTTTGGTGAGGGGGCTCGCCCYTGGCGGTCCYKGCCTCTYSGGCCTGCTCCCCCTGCTCTCGCTCCCGCTGGCGTGGAAGGAGTGGAAMGCCGTCTGCGCAAAGGAGGGAAGCGCCCTGAACCAACACGTCGGGGGGGCCGCCAAGGTCCAGCTCCTCTTTTGCGTCCTCCTGGCGGTTTCCCTGCGGAAAGGGAACTGATCTTAAAAAGGGCGCAAAGGTGCCGGTCTTTAGGCCTTTTTGTTATCTATTGCGCTATACAATGCAATACAAACTACTAGAGGTGCYATGTTGTGGTCGTGTTGTAACTAGAATGCGAATTCCGTGGCCGTAAACGAATAGTAGTACTATAGTGGTGTGATGCAACGCCGTAGCGTTGCAACGTAACGTTGTGGTTTGTCGTACTTCGAATCGAAGCGTTGCGGTTACTGTATTGCTTTCGTTGCTTTGGCTGCTGCCTGTTGGTTGGTCTTGCAAGTCCCACCGCTCGCCTACTTCCAGAGGCGCTGCAGGCTGATGTTGCTGTCCCCGTCCTTCTTCATGACCTTGGCGACCGCCATCTCAAAGTCCTCCTGCGTGACGTGCACCCTCCGCTCCCGGAGGGCGAACATGCCCGCCTCCGTGCAGACGGCCTTGCACTCGGCCCCGCTGGCGTTGGGCATCTTCTCGGCAATGACCTTGAGGTCGATGTTCCTCAGGAGGTTCATCTTGCGCGAGTGGATCTTCATGATGGCCATCCGGTTSTCGACGTTCGGGTTGGGGAACTCGATCTTGCGGTCGATCCGSCCCGGCCGGAGGAGTGCCGAGTCGAGAATGTCGATGCGGTTGGTGGCCATGACGACCTTGATGTTCTGGGCGGGCTCGAATCCGTCGAGCTGGTTGAGGAGCTCGAGCATGGTCCGCTGGACCTCCGAGTCCCCGCCGCCGCCGCCCCGGGCGCTCCCGATGGAATCGATCTCGTCCATAAAGATGATCGAGGGGGCTGCCTCCCGGGCCATGACAAAGAGCTCGCGGACCATCCGGCTTCCCTCCCCGATGTACTTCTGGACCAGCTCGGCCCCGGACACCCGGATGAAGGTGCAGTCGGTGTGGTGGGCGACCGCCCGGGCCAGGAGGGTCTTTCCGGTTCCCGGGGGCCCGTAGAGCAGGACGCCCTTGGGCTGCGCCACGCCCAGGGACTCGAAGAGCTCCGGGTGCTTGATGGGGAGCTCGATGACCTCCTTGATCTCCATCACCTGCTTCTCGAGTCCCCCGATCATGTCGTAGGTCGAGTCGGGAACCGCCTCGACCTTCATGAGCGAGACCAGGGGGTCCACCTTCGTGGGGAGGATCTTGTGGAGGGTGTACGAGTCGTTCCGGAGGGCCACCCGGGTGTTCGGCACCAGGTCCTTGATGTCCACCTGGGACTTGTCCAGGTCCACGACGTAYTTTCCCTCGGGGTTGATCTTCACCAGAACCTTGTTCTGTCCCATCTGCTTCACGACCTCTCCCACGTACGACCCGGGCTCCTGCAGGTGGTGGAGTTCCTCCCGGAGCATCCGCACCCGGGCGTTCAGCTCGTTCCGCCGGGCCTTCAGCCGCTGGAGGTCGGCSACGCGCTCCCGGACGGTCTCGGTCAGCTCGCTGGCCTTGGAGGCGTAGTAGGTCGCCATCGTCGAGTTCCCGGGGGGGGTCGGTGTTGGGGCCTCGGTGGTCGTGGACGCCATTGCAATTCAAGCCGGTGTGGTGCGGTGCGGTGTGCTGTGCTGTGCTGTGCTGTGCGGTATCCTCAATCGAATCGAATCGAATCGAAGGGTTGGGTTGGGTTCTGCTTGCTGTTTGTTGCTTGTTGCGTGCTGGCGTCTCTGTCTCTGATCGGCGGTATCTCGTCTGCTAGCAGCTGGTCGCTCTGAATGGAAGGTGAGCGGTTCGTCGATGGGTGTGTTGCTGTAGTGGGTGAGCCGTACGGTAGGGTATGGGTCTACAAGCCTACAAGCATTCGATTCCGTGAGCGGTGTGATGGACACGAACGATCTCCGAGATTTCGGCTTTTTCAAAATCTCGACGATGGACGGGGGGGATCGTTGCGAGGCAGGCTTACAGTAGTAGTGTTTGTTAGCTTCGGACGATCCCAAAACATTTTCGTTCGCTTTCATTGCGTTTCTTTCCTATTCCATACTAAGGTTAAAGTTAAMGATAGGTGCAGTGTAGGTTCGGAAACACTTTTCGGATTTCAAGGATTTTTTTTGTTTTTTGTCAAAAATATTTTACCAAAAGACGCGTGAAAAATCCATCCACACCCATCAAACCAAGGTTCGCTCGACCACCAAAAACCTACCGGTACGGCCGTATCCTTGTTGTTCTGAGCTACGCTACACTACGTTACGTTACGCTACCACATCAATCCATCACGACCAGGAAGCATGCCGGGAGACGCCGCCGATGCACCTTCCCCGGGCGCCGCGGCAAGAGCCGAATGCCTGAAAACGGCGGAGAGAATCCTGCTGGGGGGCGGCCGGGACGAGCAAGAGCACGAGCACGAGCACGAGCACGAGCAAACCAAAGACCCCGAGAAAGAACGAGATCGCTTGGACGCAATTCCCGGCCCGGACCGACTCGTCAAGCTCTGCGATGACCTCCGGGACGTCCTTTCCGCGTCGGCCCGGGAGGAGGAAGCCTGCCCGGTGCGCTCGGTGCTCTGGGACCCACAAGGGGCACCGGCAGCGGAACCACCAACATCGGCAGCGGAAGGCACCGCCGCCACCGCCAAAGCATCCCGGGACGTCCTCGCCACGGAGGCCGACCTGTACCGYGCCCTGTGGCTGGCCTGCCTGGTCCTGCGCTCGTCGATCGGTCCGGAGGCCAACCCCGGCCTCCGGAGGGGCCTGGAAACCACCGTAGAACGGTGCCGCTTCCTCSTGGGCATCCTGGAGGGTGCCCTCGGGCCGAAAGGATCTCCGGCCACCCTTGCGCAGGACAACAGCGGCGGCAGCAGCGGCGGCAGCGCCTGGGACGACCGCATCCGGGAATGGACAAGGCGGACGAGCGGCAACCGCGGGGAGGCAGAGAATACCAACACCAACACGAACACCAACGACGACGACGACGACGACGACACCTACGGGGAAGACGGCTCCCCGACCCCGCTGGTCTTTACCAGGGAGCAGCTCGAGCAAGAGGAGCGGGAGCTCCTGGCCATGGCCTCCACCCCGATCCCCCCGGAAGCCTCCTTCGCGGGCGGTCCTTCTGCCAAGAAGCGCAGGACGGAGGCMRGGACGCCGTTCCGCACCGAGGAACTCGCGCGGCTGTGGCCGGCGGACGAGGTGGAGGCGGCGCACGCAGGGGCGAGGCGCCTCGCCGCCGGGGAACGCCCCGGTGGGGCGTGACGCGACAGGACGAGACGAGGACGCGACGCGACGAGGACGAGACGAACGCAAACACGGATGGAACGCTCGAGCCGACGGCCCCTTCCCTTCTCCCACTGGGTTCGTTSACACGATTTGCCACCGAATTCTTCTGGCCCGGCTGGGTACTCCCTGCGGGCCGGATTCCCTGGCCCGTCGCTAGAGAGCCGGGCTTCCGTCTCGTCCGCGATTCCGGTCTTCTGGCCGGATCCTCCGCGCCTATCCCGCGCTTCTGCCTATCGAAATCGTGCGCGTTTCACACAAACACAAAATAGTTCTTGGGTGCTTTAGTATCTAGCTCAATAGGGTTCACTACTATTAGGGAWTTTTTTAGTGAAATACCATTGCTTGTGCGTAGAACCCGAAGGAACCGTGCATCAATACGCCGGTGGTAGCAATAATTCCGAACCAAACTGCGGCACAAGCGGGGTTTTGGTACAATCGCATTCGATGTGAGGACGCAAGACACAAAAGGAAGCGCAACAGAAACCCCSAAACACGCAAAACAAAACACGCAGCGGYGGCAGCACTTACCCTCCTCTCGACCGCCATYACGGATGGAATCTGCCGCAGGCTGTTCATCACTTTCTGCAGRTCGTCCAGGCACCGGATCTTCACCAGAAACACCAGCGTGGCGTGCTCGTTCGTGGTGAGGCTCCCGGTCTTGATGATCTCCGACAGGTCCGAGACGGTCTCGGAGCAGTCCGCCAGGAGGAGCTTCCGGTCCTGGCAGTGCACGACGATCTCGCACGGATAAAAGTGCTCCTGCTCGTCGCCGGCCCCCGGCTCCGCCGACCACCGCAGCGCAACGGGTCGCTCGACCACGTCCRCCTCCTGGAACCGACCATAGCCACCCTGCCGGAGACTGACGCTGTCGATCCTCTGCTTCGATCCCTGTTCGTCGGAGGAAAAGTCGTCCGCCGTTCTCTGGTTCCCGGCCGCCTCCTGGTTGATTGCCTTCTGGGCTATCGGGCAGCACGTGCGGTGGACCGTAGGTGTTGCCTCGTTGTTGGTGTCGTCGACGGGAACGGTTCCAACGATGTCGTCTCCGAGTACGGGGAGGCATTCCGTGCAGAGATGCTCCGGGTCTGCGTATTCGATCGATCCCTCGCCGTTTGCGGTCGACGTGCCATCAAAGCCCGCCCCGTACTTGTTTGGGAGCTTTGGCTTGGGCCAGTTCGAGGCYGGTGTTTCGTTTTCGGTGTCGGTGTTGGGAGCAGGCTGGAAGGTTGCGCTGCTCTGGGCCGAAGCTACCGCGGCAGCCGCATCCTGGGCTTTCTTCTGGCGTTCGTGCACCGCGTCCAGAACGCTCTTTGGAATCAGCGAGGATCGGTTCTTTTCGGCGTTGATCAACACTTTTTGCGGCACTTTGAACAATTTCGAGACAAACGAATGAAGCAGCGCGCGATCGTGCTGCTTTCCGAGTTTGATCAAGAGGTCGTCGATATCGTCGTAGTGGGTATTGCCGGGCAGCAAARCCGCCACTTCTTCGATTGTGGATGGGATCGAAAATTCTTCCTCCAGATACGACGACTTTTCAATCAGGGGCCCGTGCATCCACAGATAGTCCATCAGAAGTATTTTTCCGGCCTCGGACAAACTAAGGTTCAACAACGTCGACAGGCCTTGGTCAGTGTCGATAGCACCAAAAAAGAGAGCACCGAAACCAACGAACGCGAAAACAAATGCTTACCTTTCTTTTTGTTTTTCTCGAAAGTAGGATCGTAGTTTTGATCTAGCGGAACGGCTCTTCGCGAATCCTATCCAGTCCGTAGCGGGCCTTCCTTCGCCTGTCAGGATGGAAACGACGTCTCCGTTCTGTAATTCGTAGGAGATGGACACGGGTTTCCCGTTGATTTCAACACCGTGCATGTTTAGTCCCACTTCGGTGTGAATCTGGAACGCTGCGTCAATGGCAGTAGAACCCCGCGCGAGATTGAGAATCTGCCCGTTTCTCAAAAAGACAAAGACGCGCTTTCCRAGAAGCTCGTTGCGCACACTATCTACAAAGTCCCTGGCATTCAGCTTCTCGTCCTGCCATTCCTTGATGCTGGATAGCCACGGCGTGTTGTAGATGTCGTCGTTTCCGTCCTGTCTCCTTTTTCCGTCCTTGTACGCCCAGTGCGATGCCATACCGTATTCCGCCACTTGGTGCATCGTGTTGGTTCGAATCTGAACCTCGATTTTCTGTCCGTTCAATATGAGTGCCGTGTGAAGACTTTGGTAACCGTTTGGTTTGGGGAAGCTGATATAGTCTTTGACGCGCGTGGGAAACGGCTGGAAACCATCGAGGTGCTGGACGAGCCCCAAAACGTGGTAGCAAAGCCACACTCCTCGGTCCGAGTCGTCTTCGTCTTCCTCGGGATTCGCCTTCGGCGTGATAATCACTCGCAATGCCACAACATCGACAATGTGATCGAGATTTCGTTCCTCCTTCGTCTCCATTTTGTGCCACAGGGAGTAAATTTCCTTCATGCGACCCGACACTTTGACATCTGCCGCTTGTGAGCTCAGAGTCGGGTCGGAATTCAACCTTTCCTTTAGGATTTTTTGCGAGTTCTCGAGCGTGTCCTCGTATTTTGCGTGACGCTGATCCAGCTTCCGGCTCAGTCGTTTGTACTCCAGCGGGTACAGGTACATGAACGCAGTATCTTCCAATTCGCTTTTGAATTGCCAGATTCCCATTCGGTGCGCCAGCGGTGCAAAAATGTCCAGCGTTTCACGACTWATCTTGACCTGCTTTTCGGGTTTCATGTGTTGCAAGGTCCTCATGTTGTGGAGCCGGTCCGCCAATTTCACAATAATGATGCGATAGTCGTCTTTTCGTCGAGAATCAACAAACAGCCTCTTAAATTAGCAWCCAAAAACGAAAAAAAATGTAGAGACACTCTGTCCTTATGAAACTTACCCGTCATGGCAACAAACATCTGCCGCAAGTTTTCAGCTTGCTCGTCGGCGTAGTCCGGGATCGCGAGCTTGGGGAGCTTGGAAACCTTGGTCTCGCCCTCCACGATTCCCCTGACGGTCCTTCCAAACATTCCCTCTACGAGCTCAAACGTCAGGTCCGTGTCTTCCACCGTGTCGTGCAAGAGCCCGGCCATGACCGTTGCCTCGTCCATCTTCAGTCCCGCCAGCAATATGGCCACCTCGACGGGATGGATGATGAAGGGTTCTCCGCTCTTCCGGGCCTGGCCCCGGTGGGCGCGGTAGGCCACTCGCAGCGCGTCGTATACCTTGGCACACCGCTCGGTGCCCAGATACGAAACCACGGGCATGAGCTGGTCCCAGTAAATATCAACCTGTTCGCAATCGTACGGCGACATGTCTCGCAGGTCTTTGTAGACTTCGTCCACGGTCTCGATTTTTTTCTTCTTTTGAAAGAAGAGACCCCACTTCATGATCGACGTCCAGTTRTTCACCTCGGGCGCTGTTTGTCGGGACAAACGCTTGCTTTCTTCTTCTTCCCTCTCCCCTTGTTCTTTCATGGACTGATCGAGTTCCAGGCTTTCCAAGTAGTTCTCCCTGTACTCGTACCCGTTGATCTTTTCCGATATACCATTGGTCGGCACGAATCCCGGACCGTTGCTGATGACGTTCTGGGAYGTCGCCGCTGCGGTCCCGTTTCTCTGACCAAAGCAATCTTCCCCCGATGCCTTGCTCAGTTCGTCCATCATGGACGGGAACCCGTTCGCGTCGTCGTAGGCATCGTAGGCATCGTAGGGCTGCGATGACTGCGAGTCGTGCAACCGGGTTGCTTCCGGTCGAAACTTGCGCGCACCGGGATTTCGGTTCCTTCCCCCGAAGTGGTTTGCGGTGTAACCAAGGGCCGAGAACACCTCCGGATTGCACGACAGCAAGAAGAGAAAGACGGCACAGGAGGGAAGSAGAACAATACCGCCCGGCAGAACGGCGCGGTCTTCGGTGCGGCTCCTCCGCCTCTTCGACCAGCCCATTTTGGTGCCGCAAAGAACGACGAAAGCAGCTGCTAGCGTTCGCAAAGGGATCCGAAAGCCCTCCCACGCGGGTACTGGGGCTGCCGCGTTCGGTTTCCGGCGCTGTTGGTTTCGTGTGYAGGGATGGTTTCTGGTTGGATCGAAACCAGCTTTGCGCTTCGGCCGAGCTTTCCTTGTTGCGTGTTTGCCTGTGTTGTGTCTCTTTGCCTGGGTATTTGTGTGATTGTTTCTGTGTTTGTGATTTTGGTGGTTGTGTCCGTATGAACCGGGAGACTACAATGTCACTGAAATGGTACGTTGTTTTTGACACAAATTAGTAGAAGTACAAGTACTTCACTGTATTTGGAATTCTTCCGAACCTTACGGAGAGTTCGTTGTTGACTAGRAGTACGAGTTACTGTACGTCTTTTGCTATTGGTACTCGTACGGAAAGGTGCGGGTACGGTAGGGTTGTTCCTTGTGTCTCGGATCGATCAAAAACACCTCGTAATCAYCATCATCATGTTGAACACATCATGGAAAGGTGGAAAAATATCAAACAGAATTYMAATCGASGGAAATSRTAAAAGGGGGCKCCAAATTTCTATTTGGGGTAAATGTTGAGGGAAAACGAACGAACCGAATAGCTCGCTCCCGCTCAAACACAAATCCTAAAAAGAGGATATTCATCTGGAGCTACGGTACGATATCAGTTTTCCGGAGCACAGCATCGCCGATCACCGATGCACGACAGAGTGATTCCTCCTCCTCGTTGCGCGTAGATGGTGGGGAAACTTGTTGTTAGCACTTGCTGCCGTTCCTCAACCACATTCTCACCTTGGACCCACCCGAAATTCTCGACCAAAGACTCAGAAGGTCGTCKTCCCCCTGCATTAGAAGCTGGCGGCTTGCCTGGTTTCGTCTCCGAGAATTACACGACCGTGCTTTGAAAATCATGCCACGCGACAAATTTGCGGCCATGGCGGCGAACGCCGGAGCCGCTGGAAACCAGCACCAGCAGAACCAAGAATCCGCGGCTCCGGAAACAGCTCCCAAGCGCGACAAATTTGCGGCCATCAATGCTCGCCAGCAGCAACAGCAGCAGCAGCAGCAGCAGCTTTCCGGGAGTTCCGCAGAAGCTACAGCACCCGTTGCAACCTCGCCCCCGAAACGCGACAAGATGGCGGCTCTTGCTGCTAGATCAGAGCAGCAGCAGCAACAACAACCACAAACACGACCCTTGGTCGTGGAAGCGTCTCCCAAGCGCGACAAGTTCGCGGCTATCAATGCCCGCCAACAACAACAACAACAACAACAACAACAACAACAACAACAGCCGATCGGAAGCCCGATCGCAAACACAATTGCAACCTCGCCCCCGAAACGCGACAAGATGGCGGCACTCGCGGCCAGATCGAATTCGCCTCCGAAACGCGACAAGATGGCGGCTCTTGCGGCCAGATCGAATGCTGCAGGAGGTGGTGAGCACCAACAACAGGAAACGCCGGCCCCGGGAACTTCTCCGGGACCAAAACGCGACAAAATGGCAGCCCTGAACGCTCGGCAGAACAACGCCTCGTCCGTGGAGAACAGCAGCCTTGCGGAAGACCCAAAAGACGCGACGATGGCAATCGAATCTCCKCCCAGACGAGACAAACTGGCGGCSATGGCTTCTAGGTCGATGAACAGCACCGCCGATGCCGCTCCGGCTTCTTCCCGGAACAGCAAGCTGGCCAGATTGGTTGCCTCCGGCACGACCGGCGGCGGGACCTCGGAAGTGAACACGAAATCGAGAGACGAAATCGCCGCCGAGGCGGCAGCCGCGAGAGAAAAGCACCTGGCCAAGCTCAAGGAGCGGCTGTCGAAACGGAAGGGCATGCTGGACAGCTTGGATCGCGCCGAAACGCTCACGTGCAGGCTCTTGAAAATAGCGGCCCAGACCACGGAGGCCCTCCAGGACCTGAACTTCTCTTCCAACCTTTCTCGACTGTCCACGGCATACCGAGCCACTCTCCAGGAACTKCATCCGCTGCTCACGGTGGGCACGGAGGACCTGATCAAACCCTATCAGAACCACACCGAGGAAACGAAACAGAGCATGTACGCCGCAAGGGTCGAAATGAGACTGGCCAAGGAACGACTGGACGTGCTGAAAACCTTTACGGAATTGGAACGGGAAGAGAAGAAAGAGGCCGAGGCTGCCGCAGCGACCGCGGACCCGAACGGCAATCCTRCGACGGACGGCGACGAAAGCGGCCGAAAACGAAAACGATGAAACCACGAGGRAAAACAATAAAATAATAGACGAAAAGCTATGCCACGGCCATGGATGTAATAGAGTGCGAGACCACGCAGGCACGCTTTGTCRAGTGGTTTCGTGCGGCAACCTCTGATATTCTTCTTTCGTTTGATTTAGTTTTGGTCCTTTCGYAGCGGAATCCTCTTGTGGTTCCTCGGCAGCCTTCGGTCGGCCCGTTGGTACAGGGAGAGCTGCTCCAGTGCCTCGTCCACGGGGACCCCCTGCGACCGGCTCCCGGAGGAGCCGCCGATCGGTTGCATTCCCTCGCAGCCCCCGTCGTCGGGCGTCCAGTGTGGCGGATCGCCCGCCCCACCGGGACCGGCCCCGTCCGGCCTGCGGACCTCGTCGTTCCAGGTCCCCTCGCTCTCGAGGATCTTGGACCAGAACGGGTACGTGGAGCACTGGACGGGCCGGACGGAGTAGATCCCGCACTGGTTGGTCTCCCGGTCCAGAAAGACGCAGGCCGGTGGCCCCCCCTCCGCCTCCCGGTTCTCCAGCAGCACCCAGGGCACGTCCCCGTCCCCTGCCGAGAAGGACCGGGTGCGGCCCTCGCCCGTCGTCTCGAGCCGGTAGCTCGCGTACGAGGCGACGAATTCGGAGGCCGTCATGTTCTTGTAGRCGGCCGCCGAGGCCACCTCCTGGGGAGACATGTACACGTTGCCGGTGGTCTTGCAGCAGTTTCCGCACCCGGTGCACTCAAAGGGCAGCTGCCGGAACGAATCCAACCAGGTCGACTCGTGTTTCAGGCTCTCGAACTCGGTCCGGTACAGGCTCCTCTGCAGCAGCTCGAACTCGGAGAGCCCGTCCCCGCTTTCCGGGGACGCCGACCGGGCGGATTCCTGCGRGCGGCGGCGGGAGAGGATCCCGCACGGCCGGAAGGCACCCGCCGCTTGGAGGCTTCCGGGCGGGCCAAACAAACAAAGGACGGTCGCTGCGGTGGACCAGGCGAGGACACGGCGGAGGCGTGTCCCGGACGAGGCCCAGAGCCGGGGCGTGGCTGCATCCATCGGTCTTCTGGCTTGCCTCTGTGGTCCCTTCTCGACGGACTCCGTGGCGTCGTTGGGAATTCTTCCGGGAAGCATCCTATCGTCGGTATGGAGTCTCCGAGGTGATTTGTGTTGTGTTTGTTCTGCCAAAGCACGGTCGGTGATCGGTGAGCTGTTCTGTGGGAAACTCGTTCTTCACTGTACATACCGTACGTACGTCCTACTGTGCTCAGGTTACGAGTGATGTACGTACGGTATGGTACGAGTACGTACGTAYCGGCGTATCGTCGTATCGTCGTCCGACATCATACTGTACGATACCGTGGTACCGTACTCTACGAATGAATCGGTGATTAGTAATCTATCACATCATTTTCTGACAACATTGGTTTGTCCTTCGTCAGGTACACGACTCGTGACTCGTTTTGGTACATCATCGCTCATTACTTTCTTTGCAAACAACGATGTGAAGCTACCGGTATGGGACGATGCAGACTGTAACGTACCGTATCGCATCGTACCGGAAAGGGATGAGAACTCGTACGCGGTCTCGTACGGGACGTGCGAATCATCACGGAATCAAGGATCACGGAGCAATCTCATTCTCCAAGAGAACAGAAACAGTAGTAGTAGAACTGTACAGCAAATCGCAAGCATGGGGCAGAGTGCGTCGAAGGGATTGAGCAAAGCGGCGGAAAAGGCAGCGAGACAGGCACCTGCGAAACTGAAACGACCACCGATTCCCAGCCGGGTGCYCCGGACCCAGGAAGCCTCGGCCCAGAATCCAGAGAGTTTTCTGCGGGGACAAGGGATCGGTGCCCAGGACCTACGGGACAGGGGCCAGGAAATGTACCTGCAGCACGCGCAGCAACAGCGACAGCAGCARCAACAACARCAACAACAACAACAACAAGCTGCCGATGCCACGGGCAGCTCTCCCTCCGACAACAAGGTAACGACAACGCCCAWCACGGAAATGCCGGAGGACCTTCTGAAGTTCATTCAGGACGTGGGACCGGCCAGGCAGAGCGTAGACCGCGACTTTACGACATCGAGGCTCCTGAAGGAGGAACACTCGGACGAGCTCAACAAGGCGGAGAGCGCCCGCACGGCGAAACGAGAACGAGTGCGGATGCCCCTGATGCAGGGCGACGACAATTTCACGACCGAAAAGAACACGAATTTTTCCGTGGGGGACGTCTCGGCCTCTGTCGCCGACGAGCACGATTTTGGCCTCTCTAATCTCCAGCTGTACGACTTAATGGTGGCAAGCGACGCAGGCGTAGATGACGCCGTGGACGTGGATGCATTCCATGAAAAGGCAGTTTCCGACAACAGAGAGGACGAAGGCCGACCAGATCCACCCTCGGCGGCATCGCTGAAGGAGGCCGAAAAGTYGAAGGCGAAAGAGCTCGCATTGTTGTCGCAGACCCTAGAGGTGCTAGAGATACCCGCGCTAAGAATGAATGCGGACGGCGACATTCTTGGCTTGTACAAGAACGATGTCCCGGGGCCCGAAATGACCACGATCACGACGATACCCGAAGACAAGATAATAATGGTGCTGAAGGACTTGTCGATCAATGGGAAATCGAACATGCACGCTGAGCGGACACCCACGGGGCATTGAGGAGGCTCGAGGCTACAGAAACACCAATAAAATATTGTAACCGAATCCAAAAACCAATGTCTAGAGAGGCATCGATACTATCTGTTTCCCGAATGAGAGGACCTACCGGTTGAGACACAACATAATCTGTTGTTTCGTTCCTCGTCTAGCAAAAGRCTGTTTCTAGGGTAGATGGTTCAATAGTTTTGAGAGTTTGATTTTGTTGTTAACATTCCTATCCCAGCTTGGTATATCACTCTGCATGGGCTAAATTMCGCATTTTCGAAAAYAGTGTCTCCGCATCACTAAACAATGACTTGAGTCCCTAGCAGAGACAGAAGCAGGCCAGGGTGGGCGTCAAGGAATCTGGTGAGGCTCTCTCTAGGAAAAACCAGCACAATGCATCCTTCGTGTTCTGCTGTCAAAGTAGAAGTGTGCATTACGCGACCCTCCCCATCTTTTTCATGAATCACCATGTTCGATATGCGCACGTTCTTGCTCTTCTTCGAAGTTTTCTTTTCACCAAAACCGTACGACGGGATTGAATCCTCTCCTTTCATCGATATCTCGCCAGCAACAGATGAATCCCCCGAGGCTAGGAAGCCAGCAACCATCTTCGAAACGTCCCCAAGGAAGTGGCCTCTACTGAACACCAAACCACCAGTGAATGCWCGCCGGTCGTAAAGCCGGACCAGAGCTTTGTTCACAAAGCGGGCTCGTGAAGATCGCCTTCTTGTCAATGAAGATCGACGATCACGATCACGATCACGATCGTCACTCATTTCGCTGCTTTGGTTTCCTTCCGAGCTCTGAGAAAACTCATCGTGTGAACTGCTGACAGAAATGTTGTCATCTCTACCTAAAGACTCCGCTCTCCTCAATAGCGTTTTGCTCAACTTATCAAAGTCATCTCTATCCGATAAACCARTGGGCCGCCCACTACTGTGTTTCTTCGAACGACCGAAAAGACTCTCGAGGTGAATATCGTCGTCGCTGTCGCTATCAGGCTTCTTCTGATCTCGATCTCCCTGGAACTGTGAGTCGCAAATTTAACAGAAGAGAGAATGTTTTGTAAGCAAGCAGATATCTATCGGCATTCTTCTCTAATTATACAGTTAGAGCAATCCATGTTGGAGAAATTAGTCACATACCACTTCTTCGTCTGTTCCAGATTCCGTTTCTGATTTTTTACTTTTCATCATCCCGTCAAAGTTCTTTAGGCCAGCCAAACAAAATGTGAGTACAAAAAGTATGATATTGAATACACTGGCCAACGTTCAATGGTCTCGACATCGATACTTACATCTAGCATCCCGGAATGTTCAAGTGCCAGTGGATGGGCAGAATTCCTTCGTCGAATTACAAACGCTGCTGTGCCTGCCACCACAAGGAAAGCTTTGTCTACCGGAGCCCCCGCCCTCCACAGTCTCTCCCCTGGGTTGAAGGCAACAGGACCTTCAGCGATACATTCTAGATGTCTCTTTTGAACTGCCGAGAGCTTCCGCAGCGCAGTATTCATATCGATAAGATCTAATATATTCAACTTCTTCGATGATTCCTTGAAAAGTTTCTCGGTCCTTGGAGTTATGTTGTCTGGGACGGGTCCCTCGAAATTAGAGGTAAATGATTTTTGACGCTCTAGATACTTTCGGTACAGAGGAGATCCATTCTTGAGAATCCTATGGAGACTCTTGAATTCTAAAATGATCATCTTCACTCCCTCTTTCGACGTTGCGACAATATCATGGGTTTTTGCTTTATCACTAGCTCCGCTTAGCCGTTTCTCTGGTTGCAAAGCAATTGGACCAGTCCAGTCGCCCGAATGCCATACAGCAAAGGGATTACTGTCAGTCTGAAAAAAGAGTTCGTCGTCTTCAATAACTACTAAATTCGATCTCGCCTTTCGTTCGACGCATGTGCCTTCCCAAACAACGCAAAGAAGATCATTGCGACAAATTGATGGGACGACAATATCATTCTTATTCACAGCTTCAACTCTGGCTGACTCCAAGACTTCCATCGTAGAGGTATATGGCAAACTGTACGAAGCAATTGAAAAAATAAAAATCACAGGTTATCCATTGCTGCTCTGTAAACGACGTTGATTGGAGAAATCAATACTTTGGCTCACCTTGTAAGAAAAGGAACGGCTTGAAGGAGATTAAGCATGTACCATGAATCGGTGTTGGAAGCGGTTCTCAACGACACAAGAGGAATACTCGATTTCCTACCCGATATGACAATTGAGCTGGCTCGGCCGAATCTATGACTTGCCCCTATCGCTGCTTGACTAGTAATTTGATCACGACTCTCTTCGTTGTCCACGTACTCGTCACCACCGCTATCGAAGCTGACTTCGTCGTCTTCAAACCTCAGGACAGCATTTCTCTTCTTGTTTGCACTCTCGTTCACAAACATAGAAACCCCGCAGCGAGTMATGTCGTTTGAACCTCTGTGTGATTCGTCAAGCCGTAATGTTCCCGCTGTACCGGTAGGTGCCTTTCGTAAGTTGAACTCATCCGGGATCTTGGCCGTGTGTACAACGTACATTCTTTTCTTGACATGTTTCGGGAAATTGTTGAGTGTGGAGAGAGAAGTGTGGATTGGAGGAACACCAGCTTCATGCAGTAATAGGTCGGTGTTTTGAAACGGCCTATTAAGTAACTCGTCTGCACGCCCTCTTGAAAGGACACCCTGTGAACAAGAAAAGCACTATTTAAGAGAACACATCACATGTGTGGAAGTTGGGTCTTATGAATTCGCTTGCCAAAAACTGACGTACCTTTTCTTGCAAGTTCCTGAGGATAACAGGGTCGTGCAGGTGGTCCCCAGAAAATACAATGGATCGACCCCTCCATTCCACCCGAAAGCCGACACATGGGATCGAATGCAGTGAATAAAAGAATTTAAAAGTTGCGCCCTGAAATCTCAAATCCTGGCCAATTATAGCTGGTTTGTATCGATGGCARTGCCGAAGTAGCGCTGGATTCAAAGAAGAAAGAGCAGCATATTTTCGAATAAAACTCTTGTAAATCGTAGGGGTGGTAATGACAACAACCGGCGATCCTGTCAAAACTTTCTGAAAAGCTCCTGCATCATGATCGGAATGAGTATGTGTTATAATGATTCCAACTATGGTTCTCGGGCGAATTCCTTCTCGTTCCAAGGCTGCGGAGGCGTAAGGYGGGGGGTCTATCATGAGGCCCCGTCCATTAATCCATAATACATATCCTGAGACTGAGCCACTAGGGTCAAAGCCGTGGGAATTTCCCAGGATTGTGACCCCAAAAGACGGAGGATAAAAGCTTGGAGGCGATCGAGGAATCAGCGATCTCGATTCGCGGTTTGAATCGTCTTCATCTTCGACGAAATCAAGAACAGAAGAATCTCCAAACCCTTCTAAACCCATGGTTTCATTGACTTTCATATTGCCACTAAATCTAGCTTTTCCAATCACGATGTTGTTTTCATCGATGTCGTGAATAATGTATTCTGTTCCGCTTGGCATTTTAAATATCTCTACTCTGGGAACACTGCGATTTTTCTTCTCTTCATCTGTAGCTGATGATGACCAAATTGTTGCCACATCTCCTATCAAATCAACAAACACGATTAAATAGGTCATGAGAGACACGATGCGAAACATGAATTATACAATTTGCAACAATCATTACTTACCAACCCATCGTGCTCTACCATAAGACCATTTAGATTTCGTTTTTTCCATTGCGCGTATCTCTCGTTCATCTTTTGGTACTTCCTTACCCTGAAAAGGTACTGTTGTCTGTTCTGACTCTTCTCTCTCCACGTGTTCAAATTCGTCAATTGCTTCGTCATAATCTTGCTGCACCAATTCGTGCACTTCATCGTCATTGATAGCATCCAAGTTTGGAGGTACACCTAGGTTTTTATGACAGAATCCGTCATCTGGTTGAACAAAGTGACAAAATTTAAGCATCAAGTCCACACTCAGTTCTCCACCATCAGGAGTACTCCTGAAATGGCGAAGTTCTTTTTCAAGATTCGGAATGCGTTCTTCTGGATATTCTGGATCAAAGTCATGCTCATCGAAAGCCACAGAGTCAACTCCCCTCCTAAATTTCTTTGGTCCGAGAAGTGTTTCTTCGAACACAAGTCGAATGTTGTCTTCAGCCTCCTGAGAATCTACCAAGAGGGTACAAGTTTTTTGTCGTACAAAAAAGTTGAAGTATGCAGGAAATTCAAAYTCTGCCAAATTTACACCTAGAGCCGGTCCCAAGTCCCTGCAGAAGCGCTCAACCGGTACTATRTATATCTGTGGCACTGGTATACCCAAACGCATACTGTCTTTGATGGTTTCAGGAGGAATACCAAACTAAACATAAAAAGTTGYATCAAAGATAAAATGAGTCACAATAGACACAACTATAGTGCTGAAGACCAAAYAAATCTTGATRAAGAACAAACAAAGAATCAAAGGAATCGACATCTATCAYAGCAGTCTTACCTGTACTCTTCCTACTGCCTCTGTCTCTATACTAATACCTCCCCTGGGAAGCTTTGTTTGTTCCAACAAAGGAATGGAATCGTATGCCCTGCTAATTGTTGAATGACGGTWATCTACATCAGATTCCGGAAAAATAACTTCGTCAACTTGGCATGGTGAAACGCCGTTTCCTTGCCCTTGCGATATGAGTTTTTTGTTATCTTTGCCCCCCGTCTTTGCTGCTGTACTAGAAAGATCGTTGACGGTGTCACTTTGACTCTTCTCCGAGAGGTTACTACCTCGCTTTCCAGGGGGCTCAATTGAGATGGATTTAGTGCTTGTGAATGTGCTATTTCGTGTAGCTGTTGGATTGGATAAAYGTCGTCTCTCATCTAACGCTTTCTGTGGTGCAATTTGGACATTAGGATTCTCCTCTTTTCTTCCTCCGCCAACATAAAAAGGCTTTTCGGAAGTGGTCTCCTCCTTTTTACGCGTTGTGATTCGTTTTGGAGAATCCTGTTGTTCTTTATGATAAGCCATGTCGGCAAGATCCTCGTCCAGAAAAGGAGTTGGTTTTGATTGCGGTTCATCGCTTTGTGACTTAYATTGGGAGGATGAAGGACCTTTCCCTCTCTTCTTCCTACCAAAGAGGCGTTTGAAAGCTCTAATTTTCATTATTTAAAAGGATCCACAAGATCCCAAAGCAAGAACTATTTTACCWGTAGAACGAGGTGATTTTGTCTTCGTGTTGGTTGGGAGTGATCTTCATGCATTTGCTATCAGTGGACGTTATCAAACGAAGACGAAGTGAAAGAGAGACCTCTGGCTCTTGCAGAATTGATCCTTCAAGTTGAATGTGATTACGCCCCGACTTAAAGGAATAAAGGCCGCAAGTGTATCTCGAGAGGCGGGTGCTCTGGATTCAATCTCTRCAACTAAATGTTCTAGGTGCCATGGATAAAGATTGCTGTCGTCGGTGGTTAAAAACTCATCAAAAAAAAGGCTGCGATTCCTTTTTWCGAGCCCGTGTGGTAAAGTACGGTAGGTGTTCATCTTGCCATACCTTACCTTACAATACGTAGATATAATTTTTTTGACACAGGGCAATCCAGTAGTAGGAAGTACGTACCGTACGTAATAATTACTGTAATTTCTTGTGGCATACCTCTTACCGTACGGTACGTACCGTAACACTGAATCAATAGACGATACACCACTGCACTGGGTCCGAAAGATGACCATCTGCAATCCAATCTAGTACGAGTACATGCTACGGTACCGGTCGGTACGTACTAAATCCTACTGTACAAAACTCCTACTCGTACCACAGCTAGAACTCGCTATTAGTACGAATATCATACAGTATTAAGAAGTGCAGTTTTTTGTTTTTTGTTTTTAGTACGACCTCAGGTTTCGGCAACCAAGGTGGGTATTGTTAACTACTTTACCTACCTGCGTACTTTTTTTACAGTAGGGTACGGTACATACCGGTACGTACGTATGTGATGGAAAGGGAGTAAGTAATTTATTTTTTTGCCCATCGATGCGGTTGGCACTAAGAGTAAGTACGAATACGAGTACTACGAGGTTGTGGTGTCAAATATCGCGTGACAGCCTTTTTCTGGTATTATTTCTACACAGGCCTACGTGAAGAACAGTGCGATATATTACACTCTGGAGCCCAAGCTGTCACTTAGTTCCACCTGGAACCAAAAAGGAACTATTTACGAGGCTGCTTATACGGAGGAAGTGAGGCTGCTGATACGGACGAGGAGCTGCTGATACGAGGCTGCTGATACGGAGGAGCTGCTAATACGAGTCGAGGCTGCTGATACAGAGGAGCTGCTAATACGAGGCTGCTGATACGAGGCTGCTGATATGGAAGAGGTGCTGATACGGAGGATGCTGATACGGGGGATGCTGATACGGAAGAGGTGCTGATACGGAGGATGCTGATACGGGGGATGCTGATACGGAAGAGGTGCTGATACGGAGGATGCTGATATGGAGGATGCTGATACGAGCCGGTGATACGAGCCGGTGATACGAGCCGGTAATACGAGCCACTGATACGAGCCACTGATACGAGCCACTGATACGGAAGATACCAAAGATGCTGATACTACAGAGGATCCGCTGATACGAGTCGCTGATACGAGGCTGCTGATACGGAGGATGCTGATACTACGAGTATTTTCACGACGATTTTTCGCTGTTGCTTACTAGATCTAGTGTTTCTTCTAAACCACTCAGTCAATCAATCCGAGACTTCCGGATCCCCCTCTCCTTGTTATAATGAAGAGGTCTTGTATGTCAATCGCGCTGTTAGTGTTGGCTAAAGTGTTGAACTAAAGAGGTGACAGGTCCCTATGCTGGAGGTTGATTTAATGAGTTTTTCGGAAATTTCGGTGCGCAGAGAAATCAACAAGCCCGAAATCGTTCTCTACAAAATTCACATAGCAATGTGCACATCAAAGTGAAGCGAAAGGAAGGATCTTTCTGACTAATGGATTCTCTAAATCTGATTGGTCCTTTGCTAGCACTAACAAGCAAGCAAAGCTTTCTCCTGGTTACTAAAAATGGCTCGCGAAAACTTGACTCATATCCTGTTATAAATCGGACGCGATATTTAACACCACAACCTTGTACTCGTACGAGGCTGGGGTGTTAAATATTGCGTAAGATTTATAACAGGTTATGAGTCAAACTTTTGCGAGCCATTTTTAGTAACCAGGAGAAAGCTTTGCTTGCTTGTTAGTGCTACCAAAGCACCAATCAGATTTAGAGAATCCATGGGCTGGAAAGGGTTTTCTTTCCTCTTTCCAACGATGTGCACATTACTGGTGGGTGTTTCTTTTGGAAAACCTTTTCAGGCTTGTTGATTTCTCTCTGCACCGAAAAATGCAAAAAAACTCATTAAATCAACCTCCAGCATAAGGACCTGTCACCTCTTTAGTTCAACACTTTATACAGGATCGCTTCACAATAACAAGGGGAAGGGGACTGTGAAGTAGTGGATCGATCAACCAAGTGGTTTACTAGGAGCAATAGGATACCAAAGCTACAGTGGAAATATCGATGAAAAACAGCAACAACAAACTCCATAGTGTAACAAAAAAGAAACTATCTTCCCCTCCATAACAGAGACAACCGGTGTGTCGGACCTCCTTAATACATCAAATTAGACTTCACCATCGACCGAGTATTTTGAAAGAAAAGGCAGTTTTTGCTGTATTTTGGGTGCATTTTGGCTCTGAAATGAGCAATAACAACAACACCAGCTGCAAAAGCACCACAGCAGCCATTGGATCAGTTGGTAATGGATACGCAGTCGCGTCGTGTCCTAGGACTCTTGCTGCTGGTATGAACCTATTCAATATGAGGAGCCAGGGGCTGAAGTGCACTGTGAAAGGAGCCATGGAATTTTCAGGGTTCTCAAATGAAGAGGCAACCAAAAAGACACTGCAAAGAAGAGTACAAAGATGCTCTGAAAGAATCAAGGTGAGGCCCTGTGAGTATGTTGCCCCACCATTGCCACCAACAAAGGTCTCCAGTATCACCACAGAGGAAGAAGAAGAAGAAAGGAAATCCCCCCCCCCCTTCTTGTCTGATATTACAAACAATAACAACAAGCAACCCAACCTTTGCAAGGAAAATCAAATGCTGGAGAAGGAGAAGAAGAAGCTGAAAAAGGATAAGCAGAAAAGGGATACAGCGTCACAGTTGCATGCAAGACTAAAGAAGGATTACAAGGACGCTGAGGTTGAAAGGAAGGCCTACATGGCAGTTATTTTGAAGGTAAAGCACCAACGAGCAAATTTGCCCAAGCAACTGCATACATCTATTGCAAAAATTGTAAGAGAGACAAACACAATTTATCAGGCTAATCTAAAAGCAGATACAGTGCAGAGACGGCTTCGGTTGGGCTTGGAAGAAAGCCCTCCTCCTAAAAAGGGGCCAAAGGCGGTTCTTCCTGAAAAGATCGAAACGGCTTTTATTAATGTGATGACTTCTTTTGTGAATCTCGGCTGTTCAGATATAAATGTTCAACCTCGCCGCCCAGAACTACTCCAAATGCTACTTGAGTGCCTTGAGAGTGGAGCAATGGTACTGCAAGACCAGCATTCGCTGTTCAAACTATTGTACAAAGTGGTTTGCGACAAAGTTAAAATTGTGACGGGTAATTCAAAGATGGAAGAGTGGCATGCCCAGTGGAAAACGTATAATAAGATTAACACCTTCTTTGATTCACTTCGTGAAAAGCTTGTCGACCTTGGACTTGCTTGAGTTACAATGGATGGTGAAGACAGTGAAGGTGAACTGGTGTTTCTTCTGAACCAGTTGAATCGTATAGTGAATCTTGACGAGAGTGGTTTGACTTTAGAGGGATGTTCCTATCTTGCTGGAGGTCAAGAAGCACCCACTCGGTATGGGCCTGCAAGCCAGAACATTGCCTGTGGTCCTGATCGCACAAACAAGAGCAGCTCCCGAATCACTCTTGTTGCTGGAAGCAATGCAGCTGGATTCCCTCTCTCGTTCCACACTTTCAGCTGAAATCKACGGCAAAGGAAGAAGATGACAAGAGGATCCACGCAGCTTTTATTGATGGTGTCCCAAAAATGGAGGGTATCTATGGTCGCGTTGGGCGGGTTGAAAATGGTATTACGGTCAACTGTAATGAGACTGCAGGAATGAGCGCTGAACAATTTTTGAAATACATCAAAGACAATGTAATGAAACTTTCGTTTCCTGATGCCACTGATATCCCAGGACGGCGAGTCCTTTTGATCCTCGACGGTGGTCCGGGAAGAAAATACGAAGAGTTGCTGGTGAAGCTTTGTGCAAAAGGCTTCTACTATCTTCTTCCTGGTGTGCCAAATACAACGCATGTCACTCAGCCAACCGACAGAAACTATGGACCGTTCAAATCAATGTATAGACGAAATTTGGAAAAGCTGGTATTGCACTGTCAAAAAAATGGGGAGAAGGTCCGCCAGACCAATTTTCCACTACTCATTTTTGGTAAGCGAAACAATTCGTACAAACCGGTAAGAAATCCCATGCAGTTAGTGAGTTGAATGGAAAGGCAACTGCAGTGATTCAGGAATTGGTATCAAAGGGGAAAGATGTTTACAAGGAGGAAGATGCCTAGTCACTTCCAGTCTCAACACTCAAACTGTTGTGCCAGTGGAAACAGCAGAAGAAAATCCCTGCAAAGAAAGACAGTGTATTTGGTATGTGGATGCAGGTCAGGAATCTCCCTTCTGCAGAGCCTTCCTGGAGGGACTCTGATGAAGCTCAAATGCAGAACCTGAAGGAAGAAGATATCACAATCAGGGAGACTGCATTAGGAAGGGAGAGAGTTAGGCAACAAGAGGATGCTATAAACTGCCTTGCAGCCATGACTGAGGAGGAAAGAACTGCTAGAAATCTTCCTTCTTCAGTTCTGGAGGCTCTAAAGGGAGTGGTCGAAGTTGCTGAAGTGTAAGAGCAGTTTCGGATTTAGTAATTTTATGTTAAGAGAAATCTGTTCTTGGGATCAATTTTGATTTCAATTTTATTCCATGCAAATAAGCAGTATCCGGATTTTGATTTCATTTTGCCGACCTGAATTCTGAGAGGAAAAAAAGCTCGGAAATATAAGAGTGAAGCCCAGTAGTTAGCGCCTTAAAAGAGCACTCCAGTAGTAAGAGATTTAGTAATTTATGTTAAGAGAAATCTGTTCTTGGAATCGATTTTGATTTCGATTCTATTCCATGGTACTAATAACTAGTCTCCAGAAGTCGATTTTGTTTCGCCAATTCGAATTCTCAAAAAGTGAGCTCGGAAACCTCCGAAATAAGGAAATAATTTGATATAAAATAGTTCCTTTTGGTTCCAGGTGGAACTAAGTGACAGCTTGGGCTCCAGGGTGTAATATATTGCACTGTTCTTCACGTAGG